GGGATCCCTTTCTCGGAGCGGGGAAGGGTGTGGGCAGCTCGGCGTGGGACAGGATCACGCAACAGCAGCGCTGGGAGCTGCCTGCCTGCCTGCCTGCCCGGTGGGGCGGAGGGCAGCGTTACTGCTGCTGCCTGGCTCCGGAGCGGGGCCTCCCCCTTGTAGAAGCGCCAGCTTTGCCAGCCCTCGTCGGTTCATTATTCTCTTTATTTTCCCAGGGTGGGCTGTGCCGCCGTTGAGTTGGGTGGCTTCAGCAGTGTCGGGGGCCTTTGCCTGCTGCCGGGCAGCAGAAGCAAAGTGTTCTCTCAGTGTTTACATTCCATTTCCAACTTTTAGTGGACATCGACCCGTTGCATAATATTTATACTGAATACCCAGCAATTTAGATTAAACCAGGACTTATCAGGAGTGCAAGCAGTTGAAACGTGCAGGAACTGAGTAAGCTTGTAGAGCAGCTAGTGATGAGGTTGCTGGACTGTGTGCACCCTGGCATCAGAGTTTTATCACCTCCACTAGGACATGGGGTTTTATTTGTAACAGAGGCCTCGTGTTAAAATGTTTCACAGGGGCTTGTACCAGAATCTGTCTGGCAGAACCACTCCTGAGCTGTACAGAGCTGGTAGCTGCTGTAGTGAGCTGCCAGCAATACTCAAGAAACAAGAGTAGTGCAGGAGACACCACGTATTTGGAAGCATGATGAGATTATTACTTTTGGTCGAAATACAGGCTGGAGACTGTCACTGAGTGGTGCTTGACTGTAACTTTGCATTCTGCAGCAGTCAGGCTGAGTTAGATGTGCAGTTTTGTATTTGCACAAGTTAAAAAAACACTTGAGGACCGTGCTTTGGATGCCACCTTCTTTGACAACAGTAAAAGCTGCCTGTTATATCTAATTTGAGAATTGCCGAATGGTTCATCACAGCATCTGGCAGTTTGGTTTTCATTTTAATAAAGCAGTAAGATTCTAATAATGAGTTTGGGAAGAAGCTCGCTCTGGGAGGTGTGGGAGATGTCATGCTCTCTGCAGTAACCAGAGTTCACAACCTCTTTAAGCTCCTCGACAAAGAACTTTCGATGTCTAGTTGTGACATGTGACATCTCAATTTTCAGCTTGTCATACGAGCAAGTTAATCTTTAATGAAGTTTAGCAAGAGTCTGTCTTGATATCTCTGATTTACCGTGAGTTGCATGTTTCGGTCATTTGAGTTCATCTTGCATTTTGAAAGATTTAATAGATGTTTCTTCCAAGTTGATAATTTCTACTATCTCCCATATTTTCCGTCAAGTCACCCTTTCAGCTCTTTAAGTCAGGAGCATCTCCTAGAAAACTTCCATTTCACCTCAGACTTTAGAAGTCTTCCTCTGTTCTTCCTTCTGAGGCTATGCTTCCCAGTTTGTATACTTACTCTTACCCTGTTTATATGTGCCACACACCCTTCTGTGGTTCATTGTCCTTATGTTTCAGCAAACTCAGTTATCTCTTCCCCTGGTTTTGTTTCTTGTCATCTTCCTGTTTTCCTTAATTACCAGGTAGAACAAAACTTTAAAACACGTCAGAAAATTGAGGCACCTCACCCACAGGTCAGGGTAGGAACTCATGATCTGCTTGAGCCTGGGGACTCTGATCCATGGTCACACAGCATCTATTACCTCTGTAATAATGCTGCTTCTGTTTCTCTTTTAAAGAGGGCCCGTATGGGATTTTTGCTGGAAGAGATGCATCCCGAGGTCTCGCCACTTTCTGCCTGGATAAGGAGGCTCTGAGGGATGACTATGATGACCTCTCCGATCTCAACGCTACACAGCAAGAGACCTTGAGCGACTGGGAGTCACAATTCATTTGTAAGCAATTTTAAACCAATTTACAAAGAAGTAACTAACTAGTGTGTAATAAGGGAAGCAACAGCTAAAAGGCTGTTACCAGCTGGAAGTGTCAGTCTGGAAACTTACTTTGAGTTAATACCTCAGTTTGCTAAGTATTACTGGAATTACTGTTATTCAAAAGAATTAAAGAGAAATGCCAGGTTTTCCTTCTACGTTCTTCTTCCCTCTGCTCCTTACAGAACAGTGGGAGAGATGGAAGCATTCCATCATAGGCAAAGATATGTAAGACCACCTAGAAAGTTGACAGGAATTGGAAATTAAGAGCATGTTTTTGATACAGTCAAGACCCCATCTATAGAAAGGATTGGATTTTAATGCTCTGAGAATTGAAGCTTATTCTCCATTCAGCTTCTCAGAAATAAGAGTAAACATTTGAATTATTCTTCTTGGATTTTTATGAGTTTTGAAGACTCTTTAAAGTAGACTTTTTTTTGCCTTGGTGCTTTTCATATAACTTTTTTTACTTAAAATAAGTGACACTGTGTGGGCTTGCTGGTAGCTTTATCAGATTCACAGACAACTGTATCCAGCTCAATTTCTCCCCCAGAAGGAAAGAGCAAATACCACCTCTGTGCTTGCAGGCAGCCTGGTCACTATTGTACTAGTGATGGCCAGAGTGGCAGAGGAAAAAGGCAGCTTGCACACTTGAGATGTCTGTTCTCAAATTAACAGAAGGAATTCACTTTCATAGTTGCCTTGTATTTCTATGCTTAGTATTAAAAGTTTTAAAAAGGCAATTCCAACTGTTCTGTGTCATGTGCCTCCACTTGCTGCTCAAAAAGGAGAATTTGAAACCACAGTTTTATGGAAATTGCTGTGTTGACCCTTGTACCGAGGGATGCCCAGTGGTATCATCAATTTTTTTTCTCCTATTGTATATCTTGTTGATGAAAAATTATTCCTCCATATCTCATGCTACCTTTTACGCAAGTGCAAACCAAAGGGATTATTTCTACTGAGATAAGACAAAAACTAAACATACCAGTTTTTCTTCTTGATGAATTTTTATACGTATATGTGATGGAAATTGCATGAACAGAAAGTAGTATAGCGGAAATCAAATGTTTTTTTTTGGTTTTAAGTCCAGGGTTTGGTATTAAAGATTTACTATCACTAGCTAGAATGGAGTTTTCCTCCACATAATGCCATTAGAACCTCTTAATCCTGACCTAATGTGCCCCTACTATTTTGACG